GGGGGGGGGGGGTGTTGTTGCTATTTTCCTCTTTTTTTTTTGTTTAACATTCCAGTTTTGCCTTTTATTTAATCTCACATATCTCTATACCCAACTACATCAAGATATCTTCACAACTTACTTGTGTGTCACTTTACATGACAAATGTTGAAATAGTGGCACTACCATTTGAATGTCAGATGAGAAGTAGTTATTGTACAACTTGGAATGCAGCAATTTGTGTTAAGCTTTTTGCACATACATAATCAATTCACAAAGAAGTATAATATTTGACATTGGTACATAATGCCCCCATTACCTTAGCCACTCACTCTGTGATCAGTCTATTTAAAATTTAAACAAATTTTTATCACTACATGGCAGAATATTTCCTTTATGATTGCACATAAATTTCAGGATCCAGATTTTTAAAGTTTTCATGTCCCCCCTGATTTTGAAATTTTGTGCATTGTATACCATGAGAAAAACATTTTTATTCTTGACACTGACGGAAGGAGGGGGGGGGAGTATGAGGAGAGGGTGAGGTATGAGGAGAGGAGGGTGCAGTACACTTATGTTAAACAGCCTGATGAAGGATGCCAAGAACAGAGTATTGCCTAAGAAAAAAAAAATTTTCCCTCTAAATCTAATATAACATTTTAAAACATTTAGGTGGGCAGGGTTGCCGTAAATTCCAAGATCCTTTTAGTTTGGACATCTCGAGAATTGACAATGATGAGTTATCGGTTCATTTGCACACTGTTCTCTTTATTTCTTTATTATTTTTTTTAATGATTTTTTTAATAACCATGACATGCACAAATGTATGAGATAATTTGGGAAGAAAAAGTCTTTTTTTTATACAAGTACAAGTGTCATTGTGAGTTATGGGTCAATTTGTCATGTTACAACAATTTGCCGCATACGCCAAGCAGTTTATTTACACTGATGCTATGTTAACAACAACACACAAAAAACTGTTAATAAATGGGTTCTACTGATTTCACTTTCAAACTTGTGTATTTATTGTTGTTCACCATGGCTGGAATCAATCTTCTTGTGTTTATGTCTTATTTATCAAACGGTTTAAGGTGTCAACTAAACATGAGAATGAAATAGAAGCATGGATCATTTGGGTTTTCTGTCACTGTGTATGAATGAATTCCCTTATATAAATAAAAACCATATAACCCTCTTTACAAAGAAACCACCTAATTGAGTAGATGTAAAAAATTTTAGTGTTGGTATATTTCTTCTCATAGACTTTGCCAACGTAAATAACTTTAAAAAATCAGGACAAAACAACGGAAGAATCCACAATGAAAACTAACCTCCTTGGAAATAAATATTTATTGCCCAAATCTGTTGCACAGAACCACCATGGTTGAATGTAACAAAACAAGTTATTAACAGCCTGCATCCTATTATCACCCAAAGTTTTGCCCATAAAGAGATTCAATAAAAATCAAACAAGTCGAGACAATCACACACTCGCCGTCAAGCATCAAATACAGCTTTTGTATATAAAAAAATAAATATGTAAGTCTCCAGGCATGCCACAAAGAGATTCAAAATTTATAACAAAATTGTATTATTATTATTATTATGCAAACAAAGGTTCTCAGATAATTTATGGAAGGTGGAAGATACAAAAATAAATGGATTTCTTTCATTTAAAAAATTAATAATAATAAAAGAACCCCTGACTAAACTCACAACTGCATAAATGGGAGGGGGAAAAAACTTTCATGTATTCAATAGGTAAAGAGCAGATGTAAGCACATCTCTATCTATCTATGATTACACTTACATCTTTATCTATCTAAAGTATTATAATTAAAAAGAGAAAATAATGAAAGAGTGTATGTTGAGACCTGTCAAAAACCTGTCAAAGTCTATGGTTTTAAGAAACCAAGTTGAACAAATATATTCCAGTAGTTGTTTTTTTTTATGATTAAAAAAAAAAAAGAAAGAAAAGACTATTTCTGCTGTTAGATTGAGCTCCTTTCTACACCCAGAATGGAATGAGATAAAGTATTATAAATAAAAAAAAAAAAAAAAGAAAAAGTGTATGTTGAGACCTGTCAAAAACCTGTCAAAGTTTATGGTTTTAAGAAACCAAGTTGAAAAAATATATTCCAGTAGTTGTTTTTTTTTATGATTAAAAAAAAAAAAGAAAGAAAAGACTATTTCTGCTGTTAGATTGAGCTCCTTTCTACACCCAGAATGGAATGAGAAAGATGATTGGTTGGGAAAATACATACATATATTATGTACGCACTGAGAGTCCAAGTGGGTTTGGTTGGAGACCATCCATAATTATATTATGTACGCAATGAGAGTCGAAGCGGGTGGTGTATACTTAGGAGCTTACGGGGGGGGAGGCGCCCAAATTTTTTTTTAAAGACCATGAAATAACACGTTTCGTAATGATGGTGATCAATGACGCAATGTTGCTTTGTGTTTTCACAATGAAATCGCTAGATAAAGCAACAGGTAATATTAGCGTAGTCGACAAATTAAGTCAACTTTGGTTTTTGTTTGCTTCAGTGCTGTATGATGTAATTTTATTACATAATTGTTTTGTTCTCTGGCTGGAACATTTGCAGAAATGGGGGAAACTGGATTTAAAAAATAATTAAATGCATTCTCAACTGCTCATTCTCATTCAAGTATACGCCAGAGTGAAACCCTGTATTTTTTATCTTTAAAAAAAAAAAATTCAAGGGGAGGGGGCTCAGACCCTTCCCAAACCCTACCCTCACTTCTGCTCAGGTGACTTCGGCGCGCGTCCTCGATTTCCGCTCCCCCACACTATCTTTGACTATTAAAGTAGTGATGAGGGGCACCTTTTTACTTTAAAAAAAAAAAAATATATATATATATAAACATCGGCCACCTACAATGGAGAATTACCTTTTTTTGACATGCGATGTGAATAGTTATTGTATACATTATACTGCATGCTTATTTATTTACTTGTATAATACAGTATAGCATGATTATGAAGTACTATTCTGAAAGGAGAATGTACTTTTTTTGTGGTGTTCCAGGGTAACCAGGTCTGAGGATACGCAATTTAGTTAAAAGTTGATAACCGTGAAGTTCCATGAAAATCTAATTTTGATTAGCAAAGATTATAATAATGCAATGAGATGATTTGTTCATTTTTGTTCAATATATTACAATACTAGCACCTCTGATGTAATAAAATAAACGGTTACAAGGCAAATCCAGCAAAGAATCTCTTTACAGTTCACTCAGCACGAGGGCCCACTTTAAGTTTTAAGCTCCTTATTTCTTAATATACCAAAAGTACATAAACTAAATCAAGGCCTGAAACCCATTATTATAAATTAATCAAAAATATGTGTTAATAGATGCATCATAAAAATATATCTGGGTGTTCAGCTCAATGAAGTGTCAACATTTTCAATAGTTTTCATAGGACTGGTTATAGCATCACAATAAGCTTATGGTTAAATTCTCCTTGTTAAAATCATTTTTTTTAAAAATGTAGTATACCGAGATGAAGTGAAAACTTTAAAAACAAAACACACCAACATTTAAAATGTGATATGTGGTGACATAAAACATGTCTGTTACAAATAGTACAAAGTTAATAAAGCTAAAAATTCAATGAAATCCAGTGACCTAAATTTAAAAAAAATTATAATAATTTTAAAATAAACTATATTATTATTGGCTAAGGGTTTTATCAAAACATCAGAATTTTCTCTTTTGTTCAGTTCAAACTTCTTTAAATTAAGTCATTATAAATAAATTTTAAAACACTTATTAAAAATACTTGAGTATTATTGCAACAATGCCTTCCTATCAGACTTATATTGCCATGTTACTAAAACTAAGCTTCACTCAAATCCCGACCAAAGTTTGAATACTGCAATACTGAGCATTATATAAAAATGCTGAAGAAGGAAGCACACAAGGTTAAGGTCAGGTTTTTATCATTTGTGAAGTAGCGGAGATTTTCATGGAATATATAAAATGGCCCTCCGATTTTTTTAAAAGAAAAGAATAGCCAGACAAATATCACAGTGGGTGCCGTCGGTACACTGTTACACTCAATATGGCCAGATAAAGATGTAACAATCAATTCCATAACAAGTAGCCCCAAATTGTCATTTTGAATATCAAGTACTTCATTTGTAGTCAGCCCAGTGGTTGCATGTGGCAACCAAAGCTTATTTTATGTCCTCAAAATAACTAATGAAATTTAAGTTTGCCCCAAAAAAAATCAATAACCTGCTTAGGAAATCTAATAGTCGATTTCCATGCTTCCAGGACTCGAGTTAGCGATTAAACAATGTATCACCTGTGCTTAAGTATTGCGTGCTCCTGCATAATTTGAGCCAGGATTGACTGTAAATTTACAGCAGAAAATTGAACCAGGGCTCGTCTCCCCTGATCTCAGTACCCGGACTCCATGTTGAGATGTTCAGAGTGTGAGGTCTCCGGCAACAATACTTTGAATAAACTTCGTAGCCTCTCGATGGAGTCATCCAGTCCCACGCTGGGATTGGAGCGCTGTGCCCAAACTTCTTTGAACTGTTTGATGAGCTCAAGCAGCCTGGGTAAATAAAAAAGTGTCCAAGTTGTTTTATGTAAAGATGTATCACAGGGTGTTTCAAAACATGGAGAAGTGAAAATAAGTGGCTCATTATATTGATTTTATTTAAAACAGCCCATCAGAGTCTGAGGACAAATATTCTCACTATTTTGCAGGTCTATTGATTTGATAGGAGTATCACAGCTCTGAATTCTTTGGTATGAATAAGTAGAATTTCTATGAGAACTGGCTCCTTCTTTGGTACTATGAGGGCAGAAGATAAGAGACTGCTACACAAAAACAATCCCTACATTTTAGTACACCATCAGTCAAGTGTGTTATACTAAGATGAAACCTAAGGGAAAGTTAGTGTAGTAGTAGTAATCTTTTTAAGTAGCATGAATGTAACAAAGTTCAAGCCCTTGTAGTACAGTTCTAAAAAGCAGTTTATTAATTAATATATTAATTATTAAATACCCTGTAATCATTAAAATTACAAAAAACTAGTTTGCTTACAGCAATACTCATCAACTATTAAGATATGACATAGAAAAAAATTAAATAATTTGTAATTCACTCAATTAAGACTAAGCCTTATATAAGCACTTAAAAGAATAGTGGCTAGAGACAGTAATTATTAATTAGTCCACAAAAATAATTTACTTGTTAGCAAGGTCTGTCCTTGTTGTGATGGTCAAATTACTGATGCCAAAGTTGACCACTCCATATCCAGCCTGGCGGTCAGGCTTACGTCCTGACAACACTAAAGCTTTGCCAATTCTAAATGAGAAAAAAAAAAGGTGAAAAATAATGCAGTTTACATCAACAGATGTTCTTAAAAAAAATTTTGATGGAATTATATATATCTATATTTTTTTTTGTGTAAACTTACATATTCACTTTTGCAATCCTTAACCATGCCATGTAAACTTCCAAATATTAACACTGGACATAAATGTGACTTACTTGCATGCCAGTAGCATTAGCTCTGTGGTCAACTGTATCTCAGTTTTGAGAAGGTCCCCAAACATGCACTGGGAATCAGCCGCTAATATTGTAGTCTGGCACTTTCTGATATGTTTGGTCACTTGCTGAAATATCACAACTCAACTGAAAAATCTGGTTCAGTCTACACTCCAACAACAGACTTCATTCAACAGGGTCATCAACTCAACACCAATTTCTAATTAAAACTATTTTTCCAAACCAATGTTTTGCTTCCACTTATACAATTAATTTCTCATTTCTTTTATATTCATGAATTTTCAACAAATGAAACAACTTAACATTTACTAGTCTGCTAACCTGTAAGGCGTCAGTGGAAAGATATTCTAGAGGCACTCCATCAGGGTGGGTGAGAAATCTGTATAGGATGGAGCCTTGCTCCTCTGGCAGGTCAGTATTATCCTCAGCTGCAATTAGTTCAGAAATACAACTGACAGGTAAGGAAGCTGATTTCTTTTGTAGGAATAGTCATTTATAAAGTATTCTGAAACCAAAGCTTACATTTGAGGTTGAGGTGAATCTATCTTAATGATATGAATTGAATCTGCTTAATGATATGAAGTGAATCTAGCTTAAAATGATATGAAGTGAATCTAGCTTAATGATATGAAGTGAATCTAGCTTAATGATATGAAGTGAATCTAGCTTAATGATATGAAGTGAATTTGCTTAATGATATGAAGTGAATCTAGCTTAAAATGATGTGACATTTTATGTAGGCTGTGCTATTAGGGCACCAATGGGTAAAACATTTAAAATCTGAATTTTTTTTTAAACAAAAAGTTTGGCTGGTGAATGGGTAAATACTATTAAAACTTGTGTGGCTAAATTTTAATCTTCCTCAAAGTGAACCAAGAAACGCAAAAAAATGCATTAGTTCAGCGAAAATTTAACTCCAGTAAGAACTATTGAAGAGATCCAAGGACGCAGAGAGAAAATGAAAATTAGAAAAGATTTTTTTTTTTCGGACCTGCCTGATTGCGAGATCGTCTTATTGCATAAGTTTCAGCTTTGCCTAGTTCCATGACGATGTTCCCGAGGGCACCACCTCTGTCTCTGAAGACATGCTGATTTAATAAAGCTGGCAGGGAACTTTCTATTCTATCCTGAAGGCAGGCCAAAAAAAAAGACAATTAACCAATAATTCACTACAACATTAAAGTTGCACCAACACTAATTATTTAAAATATTATTTAAGTATTTTTAACAACAGTATTTGCAATCAGTGGCTCTGGCTTGAAATTTGAAAGTATTCTCACTATTCCTTTTAAAACTTAAATCACAAGAGTTGGACCAAAGCCCTGTCTTGTGTAGAGTATTTACTAAGATTTTGATCCTCAGTCAACTCTTCAGGTAAACAGATTTAAGTCCAATTTGATGTTCGTTTTGAGTTATAGGAATAATTTCCAAATTCATATAATATACCAGTAATTTAATAAAGAAATTAACATTTTAAAAAATGAACATTTATTGTGATTACAATGCACCGTTCCTGTTACACCATTTTTCATTAACCATTGTCAAGCTGCATAGTTACATTTAAAATTATTCTGTGAGACAAAGGTTAAAACACACAGGATGAAAAAATTTGAATCAAATTAAAAATTTCAACAAAAGACAGTTTTAACATGATATTTTTTACATACTAAAACTGGCTATCCTGTCTGTTCAAACCAGTCTTTCCAAAGTATTACACAACTGTCTCGCAGCAAAGGAGGGATTCCATTCCAAGACTCTCACTCCCTAGCCTGGGTGCAGATTACACCAGAATTTACTCTTTGTAAATGGCATCACTGCAAACCATGTAAGTATTCGAAAACAAACATACGTCAAATTTGTCTACATTAACCAAGCTTACAAAACTCAAATCCTACTTTTCTAGTGGCCTTGTTCCATGCCATCCCAGCCCCCGTCAGGATCCCTGGCCAGGAAAATGGCTGATGGTTGAGGTGTCCTTTGCCTGTCCAGTCACATATGACCATTCCTAGAACACCTTCACTTTTGGTTGCTGCAGATGCGATGTTCCCAATGGCTGCTTCTGGACAACCTGCCAGGCTGAAAACAAATAAACATTTATAAACCTAATCTCATGATTTCACAAGCGGTAATCACTTCCCCCAGCCAAGACTTAAAAATATGCAAAATTGATTTTTTTAAAAAATATTATCATTAACAACCCTTTAAGATGATGATGGATTAATGAAAAGTGTCAAGAAATTTTTTAAAAATAAACTTAAGACATCTTATAAAATATATCATCAACTATATTTTTTATCAGCAACATATATCTTCTGTTTAAAGTTGCATATATAATTTTTATAACAAAAAATACAACAATTTCTTGTAAATAGAGACCCTATGCATCTTATCTCAATTATAATTTATTTCCCTCAACTACTGTTTGTGAGCCATGTTGTCCAATGAAAATATAATATACAAAAACATATAAATAAATAAATCTGAGTGAATTACCTATTCCATGCTGCTGTGCCTGGACATACAAAATAGTTGATACTGAAACAAAGTCAAAACACATGAGTTATATGAAAGATGTCACATTATGATGCACACCAGTTAATTCCATGATCACATAAAACTAAAACCTACATCAAACAGGTGATGAAACTTATAATAGCATAGCCCCCTTCTCTTTCTGTTAATTGCTTCTATTCCTGCTCCAAGTTATCTCTTATTTATTTTAAATACATTTTCCCATAAAGACATTTCCTAACAATTGATACAACAAAGAGGCTGATGTCTGCATTTGTGCTATTACGCATGGACTATTGCAATGCTCTCATGGTGGGTCTTCCAGCTACGCTCCTGGATAAAATTCAAATAGCACAGAATAATGCGGCTCGCATAGTTCTCCGCAAACGCAAATTCGACCATGCAAAAACACTTCTGAGAGAGTTGCATTGGCTGCCGGTGCGTGCTCGCATAGAGTACAAAATCGCAATCTTATGTACCCACTAGAGAGCTCCGCTCATCCGATAGTGGCAAACTCTCGACACCACGTGTTTGCCTTGAGACTTACGGAAAGCGCACTTTCGCATTTGCTGGTCCAACAATTTGGAACGCCCTTCCAGTCGATCTCAGAAACAACCAGACACTGGAGTCCTTTAAAACCGATCTAAAGACACATCTATTTCGCAAATACCTTCTGGGATGATTGTCTACCTTATTTTCCAGTTAATGCATAATGGCTGTGTTGCTCCGGGTTGAAATGACTAGAAAGACTTTGAGATTGTATGCCTGTAGTTAGTTTTTGTAGTGTTGCGTTTGTTTTAAATGTGGTTAATTATAGATATGTTTTTGTTGACTTTGTACCGCGCTTCGAGCCTTTGGGGATGAAGCGTGTTTTTGAAATGAACTTTATTATTATTATTTTAACTCATTTTTTTTTTTTTTGGTTACCATGCTTTCTGTGTAACATTTACTTATTGCTGTCTGAGATAACAAAAAACACATCCTTACAAATAACCACATCTTACCCTAGTTCTGACAGGGGTGTGCAAAGTTTATTATAATCATGGTCAGCCTGAAAGTGAAACAATAGAAGAATATAAATAATAAAGGATGACTATCTTACAACAATTTTTTACAAAGGTATGCCCTATACATAATAAATAATGTATGAGGCTCATCGCATGTAGTCACAAGGCTCTGTGAAATACACCTCATAAAAACCTCAAAAAATATTAATTTATCTGCCCTGTTCTAGTCACATGATTCAACTTCATTCAAGTGCTTTCAGGGGCAGAGTTTATTTATTTTTTTTTTTTTTTAAAGCTCATCATATGAACATTGAGTAAAATAAATATAACAAACTTTTTATTACCTTAATTGCATATTCTTTAAAAACAACACCAGGTGGCAGCTGCTGCAGTAAGCTAGTGCCGAGGTCATGGAGGGGGTAGCCACACAGCTGTAAAGTCTGATGTGATGACAAGGGGAGGTAACGCATAACATCATCCACACCTAGGTTATCTTCTGTTTGATCCAAAATAAAACTACTCAGTCTTGGTCCAGCACTAACAAACCTGGAAGGAAAATATTTTATTTTTAAAAGTTATTCATGTAGACCAAATGAATGCAAAGTTATTAAATATCTAATTTTCAATTTGATAGATTGCAGTTAAACAATTATTTTTTCCCCCAACATCTTTAACAAAGTCTGGACATATATTGCAGTTGAACAATTATTTTTTTCCCCAACATCTTTAACAAAGTCTGGACATACCATACATTACCAGATATATTGCGAGAAATAAAGAGTAAAAAAAAGCTACTTTAGTTAAGGATTTGCATTATACATGCATAAGCAACTTTTTTTATTACCCTGTAACACTTCATACTAAATATAGCAACAAGAAAATTGTATGAATGATTTCCACTACATTATATGCATATTTTAACATGTTAATTCTTTTCTTAACAGATAAATCACAATTTTTGAATGAAAATAACTTCTTTAAAGTTAGAATTTCATCAAATTTTGTGCAGTCACATCGATGTGGCAATTTTTTTTTTCTTTAAATTGACTCAAGATGATGAAAATACATAGAAAATTTGGAGTAATAAATGATAGATTAATTATGCTAGCTATCTGGAGTAATACATATTCCTGTTAAGTACACCGAATTGCATTTAAATAATTAAATAATAAATTTATAATAAATAAATATTGTCCATATTGGCAAAGTTAGTTTACTGTTTGATAACTTTTTGTTTCACCTCCCGGGGGAAAAGTTTATCTCATGGAACACATCACAATGTATGCGGACATGGCATTTTAAGGCGTTTTTCAAACAAAAAGTTAGGGTGCGGCTTTATACTTGGATCACGTTATACGCCATAATATTCAGCACAATATTCAGATTTCGCATTTATTAAATTTCGGCTGTTCAAAACGTACTCAGCATTTCCAAAGCAGGCTAAAAAATCCTGGAAAACAGAATAGAGCTTTGACAGGTCCTCAAACTGGACTCGGGGTCCCACCTCAACCACAGGGATTAGCTGCATGTGACGCTTCTGACAAAATTCAGACAAGTGGAGAACTTCGCTGGAAACAGAATGATATGTCTGTTTCAAATTATGGCTTTCATTAACTATTTGGTAGGGTTATAACTTTAATACACGTTACATTAAATTACAAATATTATGTTTAAAGTAAGTGATTTTATTATTGTTGATATAAGACTTAAAAGAAAAAATAAGGACACCTGGAAAACCAAACCATGGCTTTCTAAACAACATATTGTGATATATCCTGCTTACAGCAAGAGTAACATTTTTAAAAATTATTTCATGATTCTAATTTCTTTGTTGAAATCCCTAAGGAAAGCTTTGATCATTAAATATTTCGATACAGAGTCTGAAGAGAGTGAAATGTTTAGGAAAAAAACTTGTTTTTTTTAGTTTGCATAGGTTAAACTTTTGTTTTCAACATGCCCTTTAAGTCAAAACACAAAACTATCAACCTTAGCTAGTTACCTCCTTGTGTATGGACACTGCCACTGTGGTGGAAGGTTGGAATGAAATCGAGTGTACAGATAAATCTGATGAAGAAAACAAGGAATTAAATGTGACTCAAGGTCTGCACAAAGTTGTCGTGTGATGGTTTAAGAATGGGAATTTTCTTGAGTACATCTACTTCTAGAAAGATAAGCACATATCAAAGATTTTGTTTTCTATAAATTATTTTCTGACTATCTGGTCGACATAAACATTAGGTAAGTAAAGAATAACCTTAAAAAGTTGATCATCATCTCAAAATGAGTTTTTATGATTACCCTTTTCTAAATTGAAATAGATGCTAACACAATATCCCTACCAGGCAACAATGACCTCATTTTAACTCCATTTATTATTGCAGAAAATCTAGAACCAATTTTTGTTAACAAGATAGCCAAAACTACAAGTGGATTCCAATTATTTCCATTTACAACTAAATTATAAAGTGAAAAAAGGAAGATATTAAATTTAAAAATTATTCCTTTGTGGTCTCACTTGATTAATCTTGAGTAGCGACAAGGTGTCAAGGTGCTCCTCTAAGCTCTCCTGGAGGAAATGAGTCAACACAATTATAGTTTGCCCTAAAACAATTATACCACAGATCATTTTTAAATGTGCTAACTTTTCTTAAAACGTGGGCTTTGGCAGCTGGGGGGGGGGAGTGTTTAAACTATACAGATTGATCCAAGATACCTATTTTAATAAATGAACCTAAAAATAAAACACACTACTTGAGAGAGAGATCTGTTGTGTTTTTTTTCTCTGTTAATTTTTAGAATAACATCCAATTGTGTAAACTACCATTGCAGGTATCCTTCCTTGTGAAACATCTAACAACACCCCTCTGTGTGGTAGGTTAGGCCAGTCTTCAATCTGTAAGATGGTCAATATAAATTCAGGTAAATTTTAAATTTATCAAGATTCAATAGTACATATTTTATTTGTAATGTTTCACATACAAGCAAATTTTTTTTTTTTATATTTTTAAATTTTTCATTTCATTTATTTGTTGGCACATGAATTTCTGCTAATCATGAATAACCAGAATAACATGAAATAATCTGAATTTAAACCAGGAGCAAGAATGATCAACAAATTGATCGTGGGCCCTTCAAATATAAGAAGAAGAAGAAGATAACCTCAAGAAAAATAATGCCCAACATACCAAAAGTGTTGGAATATTAACTGCTTCTTCCTCTCTGTACAAGGACAGCAACTGTAGCACAGTTGATATGGCATGATTCAAACTCTCCAGATCCCCACAAATTAGTTTTATCTGTTGCAGGAAAAAACGGCACATTTTACTTTAAATAAATTTTCCTATAAAGACATTTTAACTCAAATTTTTTTGGTGGTCATTTCTATTTTCTAGTTCCAAAACTAAGTTTCACCACTTTTATAAAAATCACAAATTAACAAACAATTTGTGTTACAAGTAAATTTCAGATTAAACTTATGTGGGTAACATTTAGAGCAGATATATGCAAAAATACATTAGAGCTGGCGTAGCTAGTTATACCTGTTTAGGGGTAATGGTTAGTTTGTATGAGCCTAGCTGCCTTGACATATGCTTGTTAACATGACAGACAATGTGAGGTGACTCAAAGGATGACAGCGGAGTTAAGAGATTCAGGGAAAGTTCCAAATCCAGTTCCTCAAACATATGGCGCCTCAGATTCCATAGAAAGGCAATTTCAGAGGCTGAAGCTGTTTTTTGTGGAAACAAAATGCTGGATATCGAATTGATCATTGTTGCTTGGTAACAAAATGTGAAAATCATGTACATACATATTTTAAATATATATTTTTTAAACCAATTGTTTAAGTAAATTTTGAACATGCTTTCCTGGAAAAAAATATATCAGAACATCCTAACATTTCTAAGCAGTAATTAAAAAGAAAAATTCATAGAATAATAGAGGTCTTAAATATATTGTGATTTCTTTGAATTTAATAGTTTTTTTCTATGAACTATATGTGAAGGCCATAATTATAGATATAGGGTTTTGGTAATGGACAACAACAAAAATCTATATTTCATTAAATAGTTCAATTTTAAAAAAATCAATATTCTAACCTCCCTGTGGACCAGGTTTAATAAACACAGGTAACACATTGCTGACTACAAAAGGCTTTCCACCACCTTGCTTGAAACTCTGCACAGTGGGCCACAAGAGAGTCAGCTTTTCATCAGTCTCCAGCTGAAAGGGGCTGTGAGTCTCAAAGGTTACTTTTGATTCAAGCTGTGACCAAAAAAATGAAAATAGCAACAAAAAACTATACAAGCCAGTTTTGACAGGCCATTGATATTGTCACACCAGAAACAGAATATTTTCTGAAATAAGTTCATTTTAAATTTTAATAACTGATTTTAGATTTCACTAATTTTTTTAATTTATGTACTTCGAAGTAATGTATGTAACTATGTAGATACACCTACAAAGAACTAAATTGACCAACAACTTTAACTCATTCCCGACGTTTGCGACTAAATGCGTCTTTTACGGGTTTCGCCGGATGCGTCCAAATGCGTCCCGGCGCATAGCGACACACCTCTCTCATATCTATTTAAAAATAGCAATGAAATCTCGCATCCCTCGAGACTTCGGCGATGGCATGGTTCAACGTGATTTTAATTTAAAAACCGGAAGTTTTTATCTTGTTTCACTTAAAAACTACGTGTGCTTTAGTACGGCGCGTCTATATGTAGCATGTGTTCGTCCGAGGTGCCGAAAATCGATTTTTTGGTCATTGTTCGTTATTTTTTCCCCGCTAATGTTATATTCATATTAAACCTTATTCATTTTTTGTTGCATTTGTTCTTAATTCGTTAAAATTAAATAATATTTAGTAGCTTAAATACATATTTAAAAAATGTAAACAATTTCAAAACGGGGTTACTTCCCTCTCTCAGGCAAATAAATTAAATACGGAAGTAGCATTGCAGGAGGGAATGAGTTAAAATATTATCTATGCTTGAAAATTTTGCCAATTTTGTGTTATTTTCATTCATGCAGCTGTTATTTTTTTAAAATAACAATATAAGCCTTCTTATCAGTTACCATTGCAGACTTTAACAAACTAAATGAATTATTTTTTTCAAATCCCTTCCCCCAAAAAAGATAACTTCACCACTTTACTTTGAGCGGGGGCCCCGCCAGCTTAGGGGACTGCAAATAATCATCCCCATCCAGACCATTAACAAGTACACTTTCTGTTGAGGTCATGCTGTCAAGTCTGACAAGATTTGCCTTGCTGTCTGCAACAGATGCAAGGCTGAACATTAAGTTTTACATTTATTTTAAAGTAATAATTTCGGGGAAAAAAAATCAGCTTAACATTTTCATACAGACATTTTACATGAGAACATATTTAGTCATAGCTGAAAAGTAATACCCATAAGGTAGATCTCTTTAATTTAATCATGTTTCTTGAGATAAAAGCAAAGAGAACAAGAAATTCTTTGAAACTTGGATTAAAAACTTAAGAATTTTTTTTTTATTAAAAAAAAATCAGGACATGTACCAAAGTTGTGATTGAATTTCCCAACTGGCTCCAAGAAGTGGCGAGGGGCCCTAAATACTTGTAGTAAATTTTCTTTCCCTGCTGCCATGTCCATGGCTGTTTGGCCAACATTTTCTCTGGAAATATAAGAATGCAGTTTTTAAGCAGAGCATAATGCTTAAATAAACTCAAGGCCAAATTTTCATAATACTGTTTGTATGAGCTTCTGTCGAGATAAGGCTACATTATTGATGTAAGAAATGATAATATTTAATAATAATAATAAAGATTATTTGAAAATCATGCTTCATCCCCAAAGGCTCGAGGCGCTGTACATACCACATTGAAGTACAAAATACAACATTACAAAAACTACATACGAGAATACCCATTCTAAGTCTTTCATACCTTGCAACCATTAAAACACAGGCCAATATACATCTACAAGATATTTGTGCACCAACACAGATCTACCAAACGTGTTTGATGAAGCTATCTTCTATAACTTTACTCTTTTTATATAACAAAAACAAATATTTTAAGAAAACCTAGGTACAGGAATTTTGGCAGAATAAAAACTGACCCCAAAGTCACTTGTAAGTCAGCATTGGCACCATAATTGAGCAACTCCTCAACAATGCCAGCATCACCCCTCTTCACTGCCTCATGTAGGGGTGTCAGTCCTCTGGCATTATAGACATTTAGATCAGCCCCTCTGGCTTAAGGAAGAAATTCAAATGTCATCAATACAACAACAAAAGATATGTTCATAAAAGTGTTGTTACATCAAAAGCTTTTACTGAAATAACTGGTAACAATAAATACTGAGACATGTAAGATATGTTTAAACGTGCTCACCACATAAACATTGCACCATGTCTCGGTTCCCATGGCAAACAGCCCAATGCAGAGGGGTATTCAACATCTCAGGGCTGTCAGTCAGGTGGATGTCGACACCAGCAGCCAAAAGCTGACAAACTCTACCCAAACTGTTGATGACATAATTGCTATTAGATGAAGGGGCAGCTTTTGAAAGTAAATACAATTTTAAATATTTTTATTGTAGTCACAATAGATTAATAAACACATAAATTTATTTGTTGACAGTCTAATATGTATGACCAAAAACTCTAATGTTATTTATTATAGTATAACAAGAGGATAATATTTTTAATTTGGCAATGCATGTAATTTAGAAAATATTCTTTTAACAGAGTGTACATCCTCAAATACATACTTTGACTGAGCTGTTGCCTTAAGAAGCTCTTCATTGTATACTGTCCTTATCTGACTAGATGCCACGTCTAAAGGAACTTGTCCTTGCATATTCTGTATACCAGGATCTGCTCCTCCGGCAAGCAGCGCCCTCACCTTGTCCACTTTGCTGTGCTGTAAATTTAAAAAGCAAACAAATATGTGTGCTTGAGCCTTCATGTAACCTTTGTCTTTGTGCTCATCATAAACTAATTATTATTTCTTGTTCTCAAATGTATTTATAAACACAATTAAACTGTTCCAATTTAATTATTATCTTTAACTGTTTTTTTTTTTTTAAAGTTAAATAAATTATCAATTAAATATCCCAACAAGCAGGGCTGTGAGCATTTTAGGAATGATACCAAAAACAAATTAAGAGTTTGTCTCCCTTACTCGTAACTATGATTTTTATGGAAATGGGGATAACTGTGTTTGCCTTAAAACTAAGTCAGAAGCTTTCATAAATTAAGGATTATCCACAAATGATGTAATTTGACATTATGAATTTAGGTGAGTTTGGCCCAAAAATATTGAGATAAAAGAAATTTTGGTGTTTTAGCAGACATGATAATTTAATACAACACTCTGAAAAAATTTTCTTTATCACCTTTAACCCCTTTTCACAAAGTTTTATCCCAGAGTGTATGATTACTCAATATAAACAAATTTACCCAGTTCTTGGAAGCACTGATTTTTACACTTCCTTTTTGTAAAAAGTTTAACAGCCAATTTTATTTCAAAACTTGTGGGAAAGTGAAGGGGTATGTAGAGGGATTAAGAAATTAGTAAGTGCTACATGAATGGGCATCTGAATTCGGTTACGTCTGATAAGAATAAAAAAATATTTAAAAAAAAAAAAAGACTTTCTATCACAGACGAGTTTAAACCACTAAAAAGTAGTAAATAATTTAAATTTTCTTAAAATGTATAAACAAAGAAAGATACCGGTAATGCAGAAGTGTAGATTTGCACTCTATGTTGTCGAAGGATTTGAATCGAATGTAAACAAAACCTTTAAATGTTTTTTTAAAATTAATTTTTGAACATCTTTTCTGCACTGACTTTATTTGAGTGGCGCATTTTAAGAAATTAAAAATTATTTTATGTCCTTTTAAGTATTAAAATTTAAATTTGTATATTTACTTTTCTACAGCTACCTACCCTACCCTACACCCTTTTTTCCCCCACTGTTCACTGAACGAAGCAGAAACACAACTCTGATGTGACCTTACAGGTGACCAAAAGACAGCGAGGGAATTCGCTCAGTTACGCATTTAAACAAAAAATAACCTTGACACACTAGATGGAAATGCGGTTAGATAGAAAGTCTTTAAAATAGCTGAGGAATATAATAAATTAAAGAAAACTTATGGATACTTATTAGTTTATTAACAGTTACCTTTGTTGCATAGTGAAGTAGGGTGCCATGCTCAGTGTGCAGTCCATTCAGGACTTTAGCAAGCAGTTCAGGATTATGAGTGTCTAGAAAAAATTATGTAATTTAATGTCTTTAAACCGTTCTAATGTTCACCAAATTTAATCTTTTTAAAGATTTGGTTTGTTAGATTAAAGATATTTGACAAAAGATTGAAAACCAGTATACAAAGAAAAATTAAGCTAGTGATATTAATAACAATCAATTTAATTATACTATTAAGTTGATGAAAAAATACAAAATTAAATATCCAGAAATAAAAGCTTTCTTAACTTAGAGCACTAGAAAGGTACAAATATTAATACACACATACACAGAGAAAAATCATGTAAGTTTTATAAGTCTGCCAGTCACAGTCAATCCTATATTCCACTCCCTTGTTTTTTTTATCATTTTCCTGTCATCCAATCACTGTTAAGGCACCAAACTACAACTCATGACACTTCTCACCACAAAACATTCACACTAATTCACTAATATAGACTGTGATTATCATACCCTTGACACTAGGCTAGATATGATTTTGAATGACTAAAACTTGAAAATAGTTATTGTAAAATACTGTATGTACAGGGTAAAATATGCTACTTCAAAATAGGTTTGATAATAATACTAGCCAGGGGTTTGTATTATTGATGATATGTACGCCAAATCTTCATACCGGAATGACCATATTTCATTTTAAATATAAAAATGTAAAGGATTCTTTTTAGGTTATTTCACTCATACTCCTACACAGAAACTCAGGGTGGTATTGGATTGTCTGAAATAGCCAGCCAGATTATATTTTCAGATGCTAGTCAGGTAGCATTTTATTATAATTTGTAACTTTACATGACATAATTATAATATTAATACAGCTTTTGGTAAATGCTGGTTTGGCGCGCCATGAAATTATCAGGCTTTATTTGAATAAAATGTGGTAATGCAGACAATTGGTGCCATGACATATCACAAGGCCGCCTTCTTGGTTGCCACGACCAGTGAACTTTTATAATTCTAAACCTAACCTGAAAACTAAATGTAGGCTGGTTTTGAGTTAGCGGTAAGGCCGACAATGTGTTCCACGGTATATAGGTCACGCAGGTTTCCCTAGGTCCATTACCATCAACAGTGCTGTCTACAGTGCCATACTAAAAAGATTTCGCTGTTTGTATTTACATAATTCAAGTTATTATTTTCTTATTTTATATTTTGTTGTTATATTGGGGAGGGGAACTTCTATGTTTCTTATTTTGGCATTTTAAGCGAGGGGAGGGGTTTGGGGGAGGGGGAAGATCATTTCAAATGCAATTTAATTAGTAATTAAGCAGTAGTCGTCCTTTTGTTACCTAAATACGGGTATTTTGATTTCAACTAATCAAAATACAGCAATTTTGGCGGGCTCATTTTTTTCACAAGTGTTGGGTCTTACGGTATCAGCAAGGATGTGTTTCTTTTTTCCTTCCTTTTGAAACGTGTAAGTTGAATTTTAATACAAATTAATGGAAAATTTCATTTCAATATTATATACTTCTTCATATTAGACGTATCGTTTATGGCGCGAGTAATGCTCAATAAAGAACAGGAATGTTATCACACATCGTTTGCGACCTTTGCGTAATGAGGTCAACGTTGAGGAGAATTGTGAAAATGTTTCATGAGCTATCTCAATGAAATTTTGCACACGTGTACTTCAAAAAATTATGCAGGCCTACTTTTAATATGAAAGACCTACTTTGAATATTTAGACCGAATTTTTTAATGCGAAGATGCCTTATATTGACATACCATTTTCCTTACTTAACGTTGATATAAAGAAAAAATTAACTCAAGGGGAATGTTGTTCAACATTTCTTGTAACGTTAATGGGCGGAGTCAGACCTTAATTATGGGCCAAAAGGACTCCTAATTTATTCAAATTACATGCACAGGAAAAATTAAAAACTCTGATTCTATTGCGCCGACGCCCATTTCCGATACAAATTTACTAGGAGTGTCCCTTGCTTCGGCGGAGTACCTACCTAAATGTAGGCACTTGAATACAAAATTTTTAAAAATTGAAATAATTTTTTTAATAACACAGTTAGTTAGAGCAAATTTCAAATAAAAAAATGAAACCAGAATCAACTTTTTAGCTTAAGTACTTTTTGAGCTATGAATTTTTAAAGTGTGAGTTCGTTTGGTATTTTTTACTATGGACGAAACCTCCACATCTTGTGACCTCATTCCGCTGATCGCGTCATGCGCAATGATTATATACTTTATATAAGGCAACGCATCGCCTTATCACTAAAATACTGTTTAGGGTCGACTTATTTTAAACTTTCAACTTTGGCACATGAATAATTAATTAAAGCTTTCCCTGACCAACGGTATAGTAGTTTTTGCACACGGCAAACTCTCATGAATGAAACTCTGAGGTAGTACTACCATACAGCCATTATGCAAGTGGCTGTGAATGGTTGCCAATGACAACGTGTTGCACACAGTAAATTCTGATCATTTATAATATGGATTCTACTGGGTTGTTAAAGCTCAAATTAAAATATTCCAGTTTAAATGTCTTCAAAAGGCATTCTGAAACACAAGTTATCAAATATTTTGATGTAAATAGTGGTAATAAATTAATATTTTCTAAGTATCGGCAACTTCCGCCAGTAAAAAGGGGGCGTGGCCCACCCCATGGAGAAATTAGGTTGAGCGAACTGCATGACCTGCTGCAAAAGCGTAGAAACATGGTGTCTCTCGTAAGACACTTATCGCTGTGAAAATTGGCATACATGTAGATCAATACATTCCCCAGATGCAAAAAAAATTTGATAGTGACAAATTTTTTCCTTCTACTTAATTTTAATGATGAAAGTTGCCTTATATTTACCAAGGACTTTCTCAAAGCTGACTGATTGTAAATGAAAAAGAAATTGATCAAAATGTAGGCCAAGATGTCTATCTAATTATAAGGCCGAAAACGGAACTCAAATATATATCGAAAGTACTAATTTAATAATAAATAGACACACACATCGGAAAATTAAAAACTCGGATTTTTCGGTGCCAATTTCTATTTCCGATACACAAAAAGTAGTAGTCTCCCTTGTTTCATCGAAGTATCTACTAAATGTATCCCTAATTGCCTAATTACTAATAGTAAGTAGGCCTAATAATAGCACCAATTCTCTGCATTAGCCTAAAAGGTTAGGGCTAGTCACATTATATCCCATCATGTTAATTGTTATACTTATACCCTGTAATTTGTTATTATACTGCAGTCCACAGGTATGTAGATAAAAATTTAAAAAAATATATCGTTTTTTGTTTTAAGAAAAAAGGGGCAGACCTACTTTTTTTCAGTTCACTCAAAACTGAGCAAATAACGTCCGTTCTTTCAGTATCGATAGCTGTGATTAAATTGGAAACTATTGCTGAGACATCATCTGCCATTATAAGACGTAGTTCTTTCGGATAGCTTAGACTGGCTGTATAAAGCAATACCGGTTATATACGAAAAATAACCGGTTTGTTTTGATTTTGGAATAAACGTCAGCACAGAATTAACAGGAAACGGAACCGGAAATAAAGATAGCATTGTTGAATAAGACTAATTTCCGCGATATGTATAAACCAGCAAGAATATACTTTTTAATGTGTGAAAATCACAATTTATTATTATTATTTATCTCTCCTCGAAATATTAAGACTCCAAAATTTATGTCAAACTCTGATCAAATCATATTTATTGGGCATGACTCTGGATTTGCCCGTATCCTGGGCTTCTGGGTTTGGATTTTGCCCATCTCCCAGATTCGAAACCCGACTCTGTTTATTTGGGCTTTGTTGTCTAGCATTCCTTCCCTTTTCAATATTTGCGGTTTTCGTTGGCTTATTTGGCATTTTTGGGCGGTTGGGGTTTGTTTGTCATCAGGTTGCTTCTTTTCTGGTTGGGGGGGGATCTTTGGTGCCCGACTGGGTGCAGGGCCAGATTAAGTTGAAACTTGGTCTGATGCTGCAGCGCAAAAAATGCTTTTTTTCTCAACATTGGTGCATGTGCATGCGCACTCAGACCGATCGAGCCTTAATTACTTGCGACGCAACCAGCCATCCTTCATTAAGCACGAATAATAATAACGACTTAGTATCGTAACAACTCAAGATTAACACCATTGCTATGTAACATCAACACTCAAAAGCTATTGTCTGAAAATTACACTTAATGCAGAAAATGTTAAACAACCAAATCAAATTAACCTGTTTTTCGAGTCTTAGCAAGCGCGAACTCTTCTATCGTATCCATGAAGTCAATGCTGTACACCAGCTAATGCTCATAAGCGTCAGCATATTCAGTCTTTCCTACTCCATTGAGGATCAGTGCTCTCCTTTGACTCTTCCAAACTCTGAGGAGCGCCGCTAGTCGAAGGCATTTATTGACACCATCATGCACAGACAGATGCGCAACAAAATCTAGACGTTTGGAAATGTCTGAGAAAGATTCAATGATGATCAAAAGCATGCAGATAGCAAGCTCCGCTGATTCGTTCGTAGTCACCGTTTTCTGAGTACGCCTCTTAATGCCGCAAAATTCTATAAGCTCAGCCACCAGTGTGTCTTCCTGGTCACGATCGACATTCTGTTAGCTGACCTGGAAAACATGGATGAAGGCGCATGACGATATTTGTAAAACATTCAGATTTCTCTCGGAGCTAACGTCATTGATTAGATCGGGGACAATGCTAAGAATCTCGGATGACATGGAAGACACACTGGACGAAACACTGGACGACACACTGGACTTCGTCGGCCGCCATCTGCTCATACACGTCAAATATGTCCCGTGCAAACTGAACTGAGTTGACCAGTGATGCCACTAAGCCAATTGCCGTACTCTGACTGACTGTAGGATCCAACGTGCCACATGACTTAGCCAATTAAATTTTATGTCGCCACTTTTGAAAATTTATATACATAAAGAAAGCGTGCATCTAATCTTTTAATTACAATTATGGGAGTGAGAGACGTCATATATTTTCCTTTCTTTCCTTTTTCATAATTTGTTTACCATAATTTTTTTCCCCCATATTTTTTTCTCTGGTATTTGCCACCCAGTTTGAAAGGTCCCGCTTTGGGCAGCCGCTTATACCTAAGGCCAACACCGGACGTTATGGTTACGTCACAGCATAAAGAATAGTAGCAACTGTCTATCAAGTAACGCTGCGTCTAGGTGTCCTAATGTTGGGGGTTATTTTGAGGTTAATATAGGAAAGGAATAGTGTTCAGCTTCCGGTAAACTCTCTTCTGTTTTCACCTGGGCCTATTTCAAGAATGGGCCTATACGCTGCAGCATCAATAGCACCAACCTTCTTCCGGCCATGCGTGGGTGTAGTAAGCTTGGACTCTTGTTTTTTTTTTTTTTTGTTGTTGCATATTTTGGTTTGCTGTCCGTCCCTCCCCCTCCAACCTTTGTTAGTTTTCAAATTTTTGTTGTTCAGCATAACGACTGTGACACGGATAGAAAACATACATTTTAAAACTTATTTGTAATGTTTCATTACCCGACATGTGTATGGGATATTTAAGCACTTCTTATTTCTTATTTATGTGTCATGATATCTTAAATTTCTTACGCCATTCACTTAGCTTGCGATTGTGTCTGTTTGACTGGGTCAAATCTTTTAACTCAATTTTCGACCTGTTACCTTCGTCCGATGGCCTTGAAATTGTGCATGGTTATTCATTACCGGTGACAATACAACACTGCATCATCGGTAGGTCACCAGTGACCTCCACTGACCCTAGAGTGACCTCTTTGGGTCAAACCTCGAATCTCAATTGTGATCCACTTCCTGATCTCTAACTGAGCTGAAACTCCGTACGGTTACCAATCTCCGTGGACAATAAAACCAGTGACCCCTACGGACCCTTGAGTGACCCCCACTGACCCTTGAATGACCCCCACTGGACCTTGAGGGACCTCTGTGGATATCTCTTGAATGGAAAGTGATAGGGCCACTACTGGGTTTTCCCTATGCATGGTTACTTGTTCCCGATAACAGTAAAAAAGAAAATCTCAACATTTTTACTACAGAAAGGTCACCACTAATTTTTCACCTCTAGACAAAGTAAAACAATATCAAAAAGGACCTTAAAAAAAAACTCTGTCCAAAAAGTTACTTAAAAGTGTCAAATGAATGTCCCCTAAAACTTCAGAGTTGTTACGGTTATAGGTCATTTACATAATTTATACTTAAATACAGGTAATTATTTTCAGATGTATCGCTGTGTTCTCTCCCCTTTTAATGCCTCTTTTTTTAAAAAAAAAAAGAAAAATTCCTTCTAAAAATTCTTAAAATTAATACATTATTTAACTAATAATATTTTTAAATCTATAACTATAAACATAACTTTAAAACATACAGGTATATTACTCTATCACTGTTATGAAATAATCAAATAGCCATAAACTGTATACACAAGTGTACATATAAATATTTCTTTTAATCTTTATTATAGTAAAAGAAAACTTGGCATTATAAACACATCACTTTACACAGCACGCTTTCTATTTACACTACAGATCCCATTCATTAACTTTACCCAATACGTATATTGAGAAAGGGCCTTTACAAGTCAAAGAATCCCATTTTTTCACCGAACTTTGCAGCTTCATGGACGCTTTTGTCCCATTGCTTTTCTCTCTCACCACATTTTCTCCCTTACACGATTTGGTACAGACAGCCTACTCTTTACACTAAACGCTTACCGGTATAATGGTAAAAAGCAATTTTTTATTTTATAAAAATAAATGCCTGCACAAAAAGCAAATACTTTCTTATCTTTTATTTTTAATCTTGTTCATAAAATGTATCCCCGAATTAAGGTCCGTGCAAGCTACAAGGTTTACCCCAGGCAAAGACTGAAAATCGTGCACCACGTTTCATCAATAAACGATACAGAACAGGTCTGCACAGCATACGGCCCGCGGGCCGCATGTGGCCCGCCAGCACTCACTTTGCGGCCCGCGAAGTAACGAAATAGTCTTTATTATTATTATTTTCTTCATAGCTTTCCTCCCTGTTCTATTAGCAAGTTTTTCGTAAAGTATTACGGCCCGCCTTACATTTTGAGTTGTGCACGCCTGATATAGAATATAGCCGTAATGATATATATCTATTAAATAAATATAATATATATTTATGGATAATTTATTTACAAATTTGACGCCCCGCCCCGCCCGCCCCGCCACCCACCCCCACACATGAGGCTGCCTACCTACTTTTGCACGACAATTCCTCCAATAAAGACGTAAACAGAAAATGATTAGGCGATCAAGAAAAATAAACATAGAATATATTAACATATCATCATCATTCCGATCCTGTGGCCATTTGGGAATGTGCCCTTCAGCCGGGCCCGTGGTTATAATAATAGCACAGTAGATCAGATGGGCATCAGTGGACAATAACATCAATTCAAGAACCTAAGCCATACAATTCCTTTTTTTTTTTTTTTTGGCCTTTCAATGAAAAAATAAAATTTTTTTACAGTGAACTTTAATTGCGATGAAGTGGTTAACAAGTTATGCCTGTTCTCTACTCATGTCGGTTTGTGCTCGAATATTACCCACTGTGGCGTAGGGAGGGGTGTGGAGAGGGTGGTCCGCCCCTTTTCTGTCAGCACTTTTTTCTTTATTATTGAGGGGGGGGGGTCACCTTTACGGCGAACAGCAGAGATTATACAAGAGGGGAATCCAACTTCTCGAACACCTCAGTCGTCCGTTACATTGTGTCAATGGATAGTCCTACCTTTTTCTTTTTTTGCAAGACTTGAACTCTTCTGAAATATGAGACGGCATTGTGGGAAAGGTAGCTAGCGTGTGTGAGTGTGAGCAAAATTGTGTCTTCATCAGGATTGCGGAGTCTTTGACACTACTCACGTTTTCCGTGTCGTTCACCAACACATGACGTCACTCAACGTTGTTATTAAATGCCAGATTTAAAATATAAAGTTCAAAAAATATTTGTTCCCAAATTATTTTTCATACATATATATTTTTTTTTTTCACCTGAATCAAAGCAAATTTTTATGGTCCAACTTTAGTTTGTAAAGCTCCGGAATTTAAGTTTAACTTCAGAGATCACAAATCAGCAAGCATGATGTAAGGGCCCAACCAATGTCGAGATATATTTAGTGCAACCAGCCAATTTGAGAATGTTGCTGAGCTGTTAGGACACACTGTGATATATAATATTGATGAAAAGGGGGGAAAACTTTTTCTGGGGGGAGTTAATCCAATAAACATTGTTGTAAAAATAACAAAAACGATTCAGAAACCCTGTCCAAAACATTAATGTCAACTGGTTATTTCGCACAGTCTTGGTGTGTGGTTAATCAGTTCTAGTGCTACCCATCGCTTCTTGTCGTTGAAGAGGTGGCGCCACCATCCTCAGAAATCTCTGTTGTCGTCGTGTAGCTGACAGCGTAGTGCTCCGTGTCGGTCTGTGTTGAGATCTCGTGGGTTACCGTTCTTATTACGGGAGTCTTCGTGACGATGCGCCGTTCTGTCTTCTCGTACGTGATGGAGACCTGGCCCCGGAACGTCTTGATGAGGTACATGGTGGACAGCAGAATCAGCAACAGACCTGGAAGCATCGTCAGATGAAGAAACGTAATTATAAATCCTATCTCTGTATCACTGTCACCACAATTTCTTGTAACATTATTTTAGATGCGCAATTTAGAGAGAATTTACATGAAAACTCACTTGCATTTACATGAAGTAGTAGAATGAGATCTGCTAATTCCTCTAATACAGTGGTTCCCAACCTCCCCAATTCCGCGACCTTTTAATTCAGTTCCTCATGTTGTGGTAACCACCCTACCATAAAATTATTTTCGTTGCTACTTCATAAATATGTGTTTTCCCATGGTCATGGGAGACCCCTGTGTAAGGGTCGTTTGACCCCTAAAGGGGTTGAGACCCACAGGTTGAGAACCGCTGCTCTAAACCAAAAACAGCACGCCACTTATTTGTGGTATCTGTTAGATGTTACGCAATTTTACAGTAAGCGGCCTAATTTCTCCTTACCGCTAACAATCCCTAGAACCAATCTGAAGTCTTCAAGGAAAAGTGGTACAGCCAGGAGCACGTACAGGATGAACTTCTTCCAGTTGTCTACCCACATTATGGCGGCCCAGATACGACAGCAGCAGCCCTGGCGTCTGAGGGGAAATAAGCCGGAGATGTTAGAATAGTAAAGGGATATAATAACTCAGAAATGCTGAATACAAAAGGGAAATAAACAAACATGGGCCCTCTTTAGGGACAGTCTTTTTAGGACATATTTGGGCATGTTATGTGGACAGGTGATATGAACACATTATATGGACAAATTATATTGACATATTATAAGGACAGATGATATGAACATACATGTACTCACACACAGCATGCCGACTTGTCAAAGATCCAGGTCACCTCAAAAAATGTCACCAGCGCCGACACAGCTCTGAAATGGTCAACACAAATGTTTCGGTCAAGCTTATCTTTAAATACCCGGTGGTGATAACCTGTCAGTAGCATTCCGGGTGTAATTAATGGGGGGGTGGGGGGGGGGCTGCTCTGCATTACACTTTCATTGAGTGTGAGATAGACAGAAAATTTTGAGTTGGTGACATTTAAAAAAAAAAAAAAAGGATCTCCTGAGAGAAAATCGCGGACAATCCGTAGACAGAAAAATAAAGCACGAATTATCGGCCTTTGGATGCCCAAAAACGCTGTTGGAGTCAAAGTATTGGAGTAGGGTTGGTAGGGGGTTGGTAGGGGGTTGGGAGAGTCAGTTCTATGGATCAGCGGTAAACGTTAACATGGAACTATTTACCAACACAAGTTTTTCTTCCTGTCTTTCATAATATCCTAATATATTTTAATTAATGCCTCCGTCTGGATAGACACGTGCATCCTTATAAGGAAGCCAATCTCAAAGATATTTTTTAAAAACGGCTTGATTATCTAACAATGGAATGCACGCGAACTAGATTAGTTTCAGGCGCTCGGTGTGGGTTTAAAGCCCCACAGTGGAGTAGCGTGAATTTATTACGCCCAGGGTTTTCTTTGACTTTGCCGCCCTTAATTAACGTAAATAGCGATGCATACATGATGGCATTAAAAAAATAATAAGTATAACATGAACTGGACCGAAAGTGTCTCCCCAACTTAAGTGACGCCCGATGTGAACTCCCCAGCCCCCTCCTCCCCCCATCCCACCCCCACTCTTCCTACTCCCATGAAGCTTGAAAGCCATATAGGCGGTGGGGATATAGGAGGATAATGTAACACACTCGCCATCCTTACACCCCACACCACACCCCCCCTCCTGTCCGCAGTCTACTGACTCTACTGTAGCGAACAAACAACTTACATGAGATAATATCCAATGTAGCTGTTGTTGTGGTCTTTGATGATTATGACGGTAGAAATCCATAGAACTGGTCAAAAAAAGGGGAAACAATTTATAGAAATGATAACTCGGAACAACAGGTCAGTGGCCAGTTCTGTTCAACGGTTAGTGAGGTATAAGCTTAAAATTAATAAACATGGAAGTAGGCTAAATTTTGAATCCATCGTTGATAACTGACAGAAGTGAACGTGTTCGGCTTAGGCTTAGGGCTGTTGACGGGTGCCCCGGGTCCCCGCCCGAGGCCAACTGCCACGGTGAATTCTGGGGTACCCGATTTTTTTGAGAAATTCGTTTAAAAAATCATTTCAAAACGATCAAATTTTCTAATAAGAATGTTGTTATTGTGACCCTCTGTCGCCATGAGCACCCGCTGCGTTGGTATCCGGGTACCCGGGAAGGTTTTTGTCCAAGTTCTGACAGCTTTAATTAAGAAGTGGTTTGCAGTAGCGAGCTGTTGGGGTGCAGCTATAGAGCACGAATCGCCCGAGGTCTTTATAAGTCATTAGTATAATATCATAGGACAAATGTATGGTGTACTAATTGTATGTAATGTGTGTGACGTATATAATGTGTGCAATTTATGTAATGTTGCACAACTTACAATAAATAAGACACAAATAGTGTGTTAAATCAGCAGGAGTATATACGGAGGGGTAAAAGGTTAAAGTAGCCAAGACAGTATCTCAGGGGCGTAGGAAGGGGGTGCGAAGGGGCGGCATTTTATAGTGAGGGACGGCACTTCAGGTGGCCTGCAGAGTTATTTTTCGTGGAAAGTGGCGGCAAAAGCTCAGGCTGTCCCGAGCGGCACGGCGGCAATGACCCGAGCTATGCCACTTCAGTCACTTCCTTTTGACCAGAGGCCAGTTAGAACGTCTCTGTCTGAGTCTGCCTAGACGCAGCATGGATTAAGCGAAGTGCAGGCGCAGTTTAACAAAAGAATCTTCATCTAGAAGAATCTAGAATCTAGAAAAAGAATCTAGTACCACCCCATGTAGACCTAATTCGTGTCAAAACTTGGCTTTGTACCCCACTGGGCGTACACACTACTTCAAATCAATAGTCTTTGTCGGTGTGCTTTTTGTGTGTGTGGTTATCTCACAATACCTCAGTGGCGTAGCTAGGGATTTGGGGGCCCCGGCGGGGGGCTTGGCCTCAATAGGGGCCCCTGCATTTTGACATTCGACATTATTTAATGTAAAAAAAAAATCGGACACGCCTTTGGGGGCCCCCCCTCAAGTAGGGGCCCGGGGGGACTTTCGAATTTGGACCCCCTCCCCTCCCCTAGCTACGCCCCTGCAATACCTGGATTTAAATCTCAATTTAAATTACCCACTATTATAACTATAAATAATTCTCAATGACATTACCCGCTAATATAACTATTTAATAAGTGTCAATGACATTACCCGCTAATATAACTATTTAATAAGTGTCAATGACATTCCCCACTGTTATAACTATTTAAGAAATATCAATGACATTACCCATGCACTATTGAAACTATTTAATAAATCTGAATGGCATTACCTGCTATCGTCATTAATCCGAGTGTCCTGCTGATGAGCTTGATATTAACGAGAAAGAAATTCTGCGATTGTTTTTGCTCATCTGTGTGCAAAGGCTGATTTTCCGAACTCATCTTCCGGTCCTACTGAGCACGCCTGAATAGTTCCACTCTGTTGTCAAATCAGGCAACTTTCGGGAATATGTTCTATATTCTATATAAGCATAGGGTACCCGTGTACCCTTAGGAACAAATTACAATATGTTCTGTATGGTGAAATGGTTAAATCTATAAGTCTATGTACTGTGAATGGCCGCACTTTGAATAATGGATTCTGTTAGCCCTGTAATAGTGTAGAATATAAATTGAATAAAAAACATTTTTTTTTTTAAAAGGGGGTGGGGTAGGTAGTTAGATATGTTAACATAAAAGCAATAGGCCATAGGGAAATGAATTTAATAATTTTGATTCATATGGTAATAAAAAAAAAGTATTATGTTATAAAATGTAAAAACAATCCTAAAAAAAGCATGGAATACAAACATAGATCACAAACATAGCACACATATAGATCACATTCACAAACATAGATAGCAGTCATAGATCACAAACATAGATAATCGGAATAGATCACAAACACTAGATCGCAAGCATAGGCCACAAGTATAGATCACAAACAAAGATAACAAGCATAGATCACCATCAAAAACATAGATCACAAACGCGACTCCCATGCATAAGATCAGAAACATAGATCGTAAACATTAGAGTGCAAACATAGATAGCAAATATAGGTCGTAAACATGGATCACATTCACAAACATAGATCACGTGCATACATCACAAACATCGATCATGAGCATTATATCGCAAACATATATAGCATGCATAGATCACAAACAAAGATCATATTCGCATACAGATGACAAGCGCGTGCTACATGCATAAGATCTCAAACATGGATCACGGGCATCAAATGACAGGCGTACATAATTTAACAAACATGGATCACGGGCATCAAATGACAGGCGTACATAATTTAACAAACATAGGATCACGGGCATCAAATGACAGGCGTACATAATTTAACAAACATAGGATCACGGGCATCAAATGACAGGCGTACATAATTTAACAAACATAGGATCACGGGCATCAAATGACAGGCGTACATAATTTAACAAACATAGGATCACGGGCATCAAATGACAGGCGTACATAATTTAACAAACATAGGATCACGGGCATCAAATGACAGGCGTACATAATTTAACAAACATAGGATCACGGGCATCAAATGACAGGCGTACATAATTTAACAAACATAGGATCACGGGCATCAAATGACAGGCGTACATAATTTAACAAACATAGGATCACGGGCATCAAATGACAGGCGTACATAATTTAACAAACATGGATCACGGGCATCAAATGACAGGCGTACATAATTTAACAAACATGGATCACGGGCATCAAATGACAGGCGTACATAATTTAACAAACATAGGCTCAGAAGCATAGATTTCACGCACGTATCACAATTATAAGCATAGCTCACAAACATTTTATCAGAAACATGCGATCAAACGCATAAAATAAGACTAATAATAATTAGATAAAAAACATAGATCACAAACATAGATCAAAATGGGCAATGTACTGTTGTTGTTTTGTTGTTTTTTTTGGGGGGAGGGGGGTAGCATTACCAAAATCTCACTCACCGTTAACTCAAACAATCCACAGGCGGTGCGCACATTTGATCTTTAGAAGCAATTACCACAAAACCCCGCCACTTTGTTATTTAGCGGCTACACACCATAAGCAACACAACACGGCGCACTACAATGGTAGCCTAAACCAGAGGCTGACCCCCCCCCCCTCTCCCTTCACCCCAACACTTGAAGGGAGTAAGAGCAGATGTTTCCACCATCGATTTTGAATCTATGAGCTCCACATTTTTTTTCTAAAGTCAACCGCGGTAATAGGCTCAAGGCTGTCCTATAAATGTTAATTTGTTTCGCTAAATCAATGCTGCCCAAAATTGTATATTTATAACCACAGTACCACCGATAAAAAATGACATGTCTGCCATTGTTTGTACAACTGTCAGTGCGAAGCAAATACTACATGCAACTGCCCTGCCCTAAAAGTCTAAATTCGATTAACGGTACACGCTGGTCACTTTGGTCCGCGTGCGTCTACACAAAGTTGCGGCGGAGTTTAATCTCTAGTCCAATTGCTTAAAGGGAAATACATTGACATTGATCTGTGGGCCATTTACCCAGGTTTTGGGAGCACTCCACCAAATAATGCATGAAGGTGTATGTAAATTACTTTAGGCCTGAAGGGGGTGGGGGAGGGGGTTACTGGAGAGTTCGTGAGCAGGGGATAGGATCGTAGGAGAGGGTGGATAGTTACCGTAAAATTATGAGGTAGATGTGATAGTTACCGTAAAATTATGAGGTAGATGTGATAGTTATACCATAAAATTATGAGGTAGATGTGATAGTTATACCATAAAATTATGAGGTAGATGTGATAGTTATACCGTAAAATTATGAGGTAGATGTGATAGTTACCGTAAAATTATGAGGTAGATATGATAGTTAACGTAAAATTATGAGATAGATATGATAGTTAACGTAAAATTATTAGGTAGATGTGATAGTTACCATAAAATTATGAGGTAGATGTGATAGTTACCGTAATGGGTTGTCAAGGAAATAGGAAGGACACGATTCCTTCCATACAAATATGAATGTGCTTTGTTTAGCGCCGCCCACACCATATGTACTGTAATAACAGAACCACCGTAGTTAGCTGCAATTAGAGGCTAAATGAGTCACTTATTGCGTTGGGTTTATCGAATGGAGCAGCACATTCATCAAAACCGAGCAGAGCTGGGAAAGTCCATTTTCTGTTGTATTTAAAAAAAAACATTATTCCGTTTCTATACTCTGAGCAGACCCATCACACTTTTAGATCCTAGTTGGAGCCACCCTCCTATAAATCCTAGTCAGACCCATCCAGGGTCGGATTGAGGTCACGAGAGGTCCTAAGAGGTCCTAACATATTCCAATGTTGAGGCCAACCCCCCCCCCCCCAACTGCTTTTGCAATGACATCCACACCACAACCTCCTTCCCCCCCTCCAACCCTTAAAAAAAAAACCCCATTAAATCAGAGAGAAAAAATGTTACCTCATGTAGGCTACATCAAAAGTTTAGTATAGTGTAACATATTTCATGTTTACATTTTACTAATCATTCTATCAATTATTCTTGTTATTATTTTTTTTAAATTTAACGTGTATTTCTTGGAATGTGTTCTCAAGATGGTAATGTTAATATCTGCCTGAAAGTGAATCGCTAAATATTACCTACCATTGAAATGCATCGGCATTTTGTAGAGTTAACCCAAAGCTCAATACTGAAATAATTTGACTCTAAATCTGCCATGCTTTATCCAGTATTCTTTATGATCTTTAGTCAATATTTCTTTTAATGTGACCACAGTGCGCGTTACTGTATTTAAGTTAAATTATTTCTGATTGATTTTTAAAAAAAATAATGTTATTTTAATTTGTATATTTTTATAGTTTCTTTAATAACTTTGTGGCCCTTTAGACTTTTGAGGCTCTAGGCTTAAGCCTTACACAGCCCTATCGGGAAATCCGGCACTCATTCGTAACTTTTGAGGCCCTAGGCTTAAGCCTTACACAGCCCTATGGCGAAATCCGGCACTCATTCGTAACTTTTGAGGCCCTAGGCTTAAGCCTTACACAGCCCTATGGCGAAATCCGGCACTCATTCGTAACTTTTGAGGCCCTAGGCTTAAGCCTTACACAGCCCTATCGGGAGATCCGGCACTCATTCGTAACTTTTGAGGCCCTAGGCTTAAGCCTTACACAGCCCTATCGGGAAATCCGGCACTCATTCCTATAACGACCCCACCCAAAAGTACACTTTTAAAATCATTAATTTAAATGTAAAAAATAACACATACATAAAGATGAAAAATTTGTATGAAATCGAAAAGCGTATTAATTTATTTATAGCTCAGTGGGGGATACTGTAATAAAAAAAAAAACGATTTTAACAATCAATAAATAGGAAATTGCTATTAAAATACCGTCAGTTATTTAACTTTTTATTGACATCCTGTGGGGGTTATTATGTAATCAATACCCCTACTTGGCTGCTACTTACCTGCATGTGCAGTGAAATAGAACAAGCTGTTAGAGTTTAGTTAGAAATAGAAACACAATTTAGCGAAAGAGCAAACCCTCATGCCCAACTAACATTGAGAGGGAAATTGCACGTGCTATGGGTCTGCGCCAGGCCCACACCAAGGAGATTCTGGGCCCTAGGCAGCTGACAGAGTTCGGGCCCCTTTCGTGTTTCAAACACGTGCGTATATTTTAAAAACTCGAAAAAGGGCGGGCCACTATCTAGCTTGGGCCCCTGACCAATGCCAAGGTTGTCCCCCTCCCCTAGGTGCGGGCCTGTCCATGCGCTTTTAGCTGCCCCCCCCCCCCAATCTATTAATAATTAAATACATGAAAAATGGGCATTTCGGTTTAGATTGAATTTTTAATGACATCAGTGAGGAAAAATAATAAACACTACAATGTTGGCTAATTTGGTCCGTTAAATAAATGACATGAACATGTAAAACAAAAAATGACTTGTTCATTTGTCAGTACTGATATGTAACTAAAACTTGACCCTGAACCAACGCGAAAGAATTTGTAAAACGTGTGGGGGGGGGGGTGGGTGGGGGGGGGGGGCCCATAATTTTGCCCAACCCTGGAACACACATGAAAATGAGAACAATAAAATCCAACGAAAAATTCGAGGAGTCTTGTGAATCTTGGGCTGGGGGGGGGTATACATTATACACTTTAAAAAACATCAATTGTCTTATTTTATATAGGGCTATATATATGTTTTGTTGTTGTTGCTAAGGGGGTGGGGAGTGGAACTCAACTATCTTTATACATGAAAATAGAAATGCATTTTTGTTCCGGCAACTGATCCTGACGTAAGTATCTGCCGTGCATGTCTCCACGCCTAATTGAGTGACGCTATTATACAACGGTGTAATTTTAATACCAGTTTTGTGGAAGCCCCTTGCGACAACCACAATGTAAATTTGAAATAAAATACGGGATAATGATTCGGTCATGTTTCTGTTTAGTGACTCACGGCAGCTCTACACTGGCGCCACCTGTCACATCCTTGAAATTGTGTTATCCTATGACAGCTTTAGGGATGTTTGCCATTTTTACGTAGAGATGCCCATATGGGTCTAATCGTCTGCTTGTTTTATGTCCTAATTTTCTGTGGGTTTTTTCAGCGGTGGATACAGCGAAAAATATACCAAGGGGGTCGACAGACATTATTTTTTCCACCCAAATTTTATATATTTGTTTCAGTTTGACAGGACTGCAAACAGTGATTATTTCAGAAATTTTCCCAGGGGTGGAGGGGGGGGGGGTTGGGGGGAGGTGTACTTCAGGTTTTTCGGGGGG